GGTTGAGAAATCCAATCTAATGAGACCCATAATTTGAACTAAGACCCAATTACCTAAAATGGAGTTTTTACTTTTCTGAGTCTTTCCAACTCTTTATTTGCATGAATGAAGGTATATGAAGCATTAGTTTTTATATATATATATCAAAGTTTTTTTTCTCGTAGACTAATGGTTCACAGATAAATTATTAAGAGAGTGTAGTTTCATGTTAGTCCAAAACATCAAAGTTTAATTCTGAATAGTTAGCCAACGAAGCCTTGTTTAATTAAATGAACTTTGATATTTCAGAATTTATGAAGAAATTAAAATAATAACTATTGTTTATGGCATTCTCAAACATTTTACCACGTATCAAAAGCAAAATAGTAGCAAATGATTGGGAAGACAAAATATTAATTCGAATTTCTTTAATCTAGTTTTTTTTATTTAAATCTCTCACCCAGGAATCATATTACAAGCTAGATAACAAGTTAATTAAGAGAAATTAAGAACTCACTGAAAAAATAATAAATGGAAAAGAATAAAAAAAATAAAAAATAACTTATGCGGGGTGGGGTGGGGCGGGGCGGAGCAGGTTGATGCGGGGCGGGGCGGGTGGAAAACAAACAAAATCACTACGCGGGGCGGGGCGGGTTGGAACTTTTGCGGGTTAAGGCTTAACCCGCCCCGCACCCGCCCGCCCCACTGCCATCAAAGAGCAACTTGATAAAAATCAGAGAAAATGATGGCCGAAATTTTTTTAAGTGAAACAGGACTGAGCACATGCAGCGCAAAAAAGTTATCCAAATTTAAATGCGGTATAAATTCAGTGACTCCCTTGCTAATTAGTAGGGAGAAAACTGAAACTTCAGAAAAAATTCCAAAAGAAACCAAAAATAAAGGACTAAGCAGAGAAGCAGAAGATTGAGCAGAAATAGAAGCAGAGAAAAGAGGAAAACTCACCAGAAGAAGGAAGAACGACAGAAGAGAGAAACCAAATAATACACCCAGGCATTAGAAAGAACATCGGAACTATCGAAAAGCATAGATCATTTTCAATTACCAGAACATTTCAATTACCATAATTTCCTTTGATCATTCTATGAAACGCGTACATCGATCTGTAATTCTCTCAAAAATGGATAAAATTTGGACCTCTAATTCAGAAATATGAAAGAAACCACGAAAAAGAGCAAACAAATGGTAGAAATCTGGTTTGTTGCTCAATACTTAAAGGAAGAAGGAAGCTATGAATTTACCCATGAAACAGCTAATATTTACGGAAATGCCCTTCGTTGTACTAAAGGGTTTTCACTTATTATAGGCGAAATACATAAATGGCCCCTTCAAGTTGTCCTCAACAACTCCAGTGCAGCATATCAAATGCGTGAGTTACACTTGCGAAATGAGCCAATCAATGAACGAAACGTGTAATTTGTTATTAAAACTTAACACAAATTAACCAAAACACAAAATGAATTTAAAGAAGAAAAAATACTTTTCCAGCGCCCTTTCTGCTCACCCCCCCTCCTCCCCCAACTTCATCTTCTTCTTCCAAACGAAAACCTTGTAATTTCATCAGATTAAATTTCCAGAAAGGAACAAAAAACTCTCACTTTCTTTCGGTGATCAGGCTGCATTATTGAGTAATTCCGAGAAAGCCCACAAAAATAGAGATAATTTGAATTAAGCTATCCAAAAACAAAAGTAAAGGAATTCAGAAAATCAGCCTGATAATCTTCTTCAAATTGAACAGATTCTTCATAAACTCTTCCTCAACAACAATCGTAAGAGACTACACAAAAATGGTTTAGACATTTTCACAAACACCCCTCGAACAAAACCCTAAATCTCAATCAAACTTTCGATAATTAATAATGGTGCGAGCGTGAAATAGAGGATCCGGGGGGAGATGTGTGGATCTGAAGAAACCCTAGCTGGTGGGGAAGAGGGAAATCTGACGCCGACAATTTGGAGGTGGGGCGAGGTGGGGGGCACTGTGGGTGGTAGGGAGGGGGAGAGAGAGAGAGAGGCAAAATATGGAGCAGTGAAGGCTTCGGCCAAACTTCCGTTCAGTAGTCGGAGGCCATGAACAGCTTCACTTTCGGGTATTATGACTTGTACTCGTGGTCGGAATTAAGTTTCGGGAAGTTCAAAGTTAATTTAGAAAAAGAATTCTCATTTCAGAAGCTTAAAGTTGAAAGAATGAACTAGGATTGAAATTTTGAGTAAACGACCTCGGAATCAGGATCTGAAGGTTCCAGCAAGTTCGTATGATGATTTCAGACTTGGGCGTATGCTCGGTTCGGATTTTGGATAGCTTGAATTGCTTAAATCACATTAACTTAGTAATTGAATTTCTAAAAGGATTAAACTTCATTTCTTAAAATTTGTTAAAGGAGAATTGGTTTTAATTGGATAAATATTCCCGATAAGTTATTAATTGACTGATTGAGCATGTATCCCTATGTGTACCTGCGTCGCATGCATGATTCGCGAGCAGGGTATGTGTTTATTTATGGAACGGGCCGAACGCCTCGGCAGATTAAATAGATGCATCTATGGTTCGTGCCGTTCGACCCTCGCAGTGCACAGTTTACATTTCTGTTGGATCGGGCCGTCGCCTCGGTGTGATTTGCGCATGTTATTTGTCGCTTGAGAATTTTAAACGTGGAATTGCCCTTCGTGGCCTGATATAGATTGATAAGATAATAAAGAGTAAACCTTGAAAATCCTTGATTATTTGTAGAAGGTGTTTACCTGTTTTCCGGCTTCGTGAATTAGAACTGCTATATAAATCCATGATTTTCTCACATGGTTAGTATATTATCAATTGACCCCTAGTAAGTGTCGAAGTTGACCATCTCGTCTCTACTTCTTCAAAATTAGGCG